CTTTGGGAACGTGAATGGAACACGGCAAATCCATGTTGTTGGGTCCGATTCCCCAACAATGGAACCCACCTGCAAATGCCCTTGGACCTTATCTTATCATTCGTCTGTCTTTAAAAGAACCATGCTTCTCGCGTTGCGCTGTGCTAACACCAGGCCTTCAACAAGGGGAGGTGCTTTTCAGCCACGAGCCTACTGTTCCCCGTTAAGGATTTGGTGGTTGGGGGTGAGAGTTGAGCGGGGCTAAGAAATTAGTACCTCAAAAATGGGTGGGCTCCTTCTGGTGTGTGTGTGTGTGTGTGTGTGTGTGTGTGTGTGTGTGTGTGTGTGTGTGTGTGTGTGTGTGTGCGTGCGTGCGTGCGTGTGCGTGCGTGCGTGCGTGCGTGCGTGCGTGCGTGCGTGCGTGCGTGCGTGCGTGCGTGCGTGCGTGCGTGCGTGCGTGCGTGCGTGCGTGCGTGCGTGCGTGCGTGCGTGCGTGCGTGCGTGCGTGCGTGCGTGCGTGCGTGCGTGCGTGCGTGCGTGCGTGCGTGCGTGCGTGCGTGCGTGCGTGCGTGCGTGCGTGCGTGCGTGCGTGCGTGCGTGCGTGCGTGCGTGCGTGCGTGCGTGCGTGCGTGCGTGCGTGCGTGCGTGCGTGCGTGCGTGCGTGCGTGCGTGCGTGCGTGCGTGCGTGCGTGCGTGCGTGCGTGCGTGCGTGCGTGCGTGCGTGCGTGCGTGCGTGCGTGAGTGTGTGTGTGTGTGTGTGTGACAACCCAAACCTTTCGAGGGAGAGCTGTGCTCGCACCACAATTTTCTTTGCGCAAGAGCAGGGGGCCAGGAACCCATGCATGTCTGTCCTGGCCAACAAAGACCAGACACTATGGGGGTGCACTGCTTTCGGCCTATCTGGGATGACGTTTCTGGTGTTGCTTCTGCAAGTCCCATCGGCCTTTTGTCATGACGTGTTAATGCTGTCCATTTCTGAAGAAGTGAAGCCCAGCTCCTCAGCTTTGACGGGCGTTCCGAGGCTGTACTTGTACAGAATGCTGAATTCCACGTTCAACATACATAGCCACCACATCTTGGATCTGGAAGGGTATAAGTTCCCGAAGTCTGACAAACCGACAAATCAATAGAAATCGGGCTCTTGCTCCCGCCAGAATGCAACAAATGAGGACTGGAAGGCGAAATGTAATTGACCGTTGTTGAACACAAGCATGGAACCCTATAATATCGCTGCTCCATCATCATTCTCCAATTCCAGCGGTCTGCCGTAAAAATATGGCCGTCGAAGTACATCATAATCTGAGTGTTGCAAGTTGGTATCTTGGAGTAAAAGAATGCGGTTGTCAACGTAGCGAACCAAACATCTGCCTGGTGCCGTGACGTTGGAATGTAGCAGGGCCTGGTAATAAACCCACTCTCTGTAGACAGCAAGTGCAGAACACAACACGGGGGCCCACTATAATCCCATGGAAGCGCCCCGTGTTTGGCGAAGCACGAGGGTGCCCAAAGTAAATACACTACACTGTAGCAAGATCTGCACCAAGGGAAGCACATGTCCTAAGACTATTGAATAATGGCGAGAAGCCACCTGTCTCCAAATTCGTTCATTCACATTCACGGAAAACTCCGTTTTCAACGTTATTGTAAAAGCCGGCGATATCTTGCTGATCCAGGATAAGCTCAGAGTCACATGGCGCGTTTCTGAAAACCTAATCTGCCAAATTTTCTTTAAAATCTAATCAATTCGTTGCCCCTGGACCTGCTCAGGGAAAACTGCTTCCAGCAAAACTAAGAGAAGGACGGCAACAGCTTGCCCAATCTTGGAACGAAGACCCGATAGCTAATGATGGGCCGAGCCCGGGATGGCTTGGGAAGTAAGTAGGCTTTTTGTAAATCATCACGAAACTTCCAACCCCAAGCATATCGCTGACGGAGCTCAAGAGGTATGGATTTTGGCAGATGCTGGAGAATGTCTGCGGGCCCATGGTGCAACCTTTCGAACACTTGCACATCTAAAAACGCTTTTTGAAGCAGATGCCAAAAATGAACAGGGCAAACCAGATGAAACACAAACGGAACATGATCTGCGGGGCGCTTGTAAGTGCTCTCGATGTGTCTCCCATTGCTTCGTGAGAAAAGTGCTCCAGAAATGAATCAATCTGTTTGGTAACTTCCAGGTCCGCATCCAATTTTTCGAAAAACTGAACAAAGAACGCCCCCCAAGTTGGCCAAACTGTGTCTTGTGAGTGCGCAAAGGCCAAAGGGTTCTGTGGCAAAATCTCTGACGCCAAGCCGGCGCAATGTCTGGGGCAATCGCTGAAGATAAGGGTGCGTGGTCTGGTATTCTTGGGGGCTCCATTTGTGCAGAAATTCCCGATGATTGAAGACAAAGCTTCCCACTGTGCGATTCCGTGCTTCAACGATGGGACACCGTGGCAAATGAAGGGGGGGAAAGCAAGCCCGGTGAAACGAAATGAACTGTCGAATCCAAGCTTGACTTCTTCAGTTGGCTATGAAACCCTAAGCAAGCCTGTGCAACCCCCCTGAGTCTGGGCGTCCCCCCCTTTTTTTGGTTTGCCTCTCTTTTTCTCTTTTTCTTTTTTCTTGTTGGCCCCCTTTTTTCTTTTTCTTCTTTTTTCTCCCTCCCCGAACGACGTACAGACCAGTGACTTTGCGGGCGCCTGGATCATACCAATATTTACCGGATGGTGCAGCAACTTGGGGGCCTCGGTTGTTGTGCCTTGTTCCTCAAGAGACTTTGGGCGTTGTGCGCAAGAACCAAGAGTAACACCGCCCCCCCATAGAGCACCCATCGTAAACCGCATAACCAGAGCAAGTGTGGAACCGGCAATTCCTTTTTGAACTCGTTGCCTTGGGTCGGCTGGGAAAGCGCGCTAGAGGGGCACTGTGTGTTTGCGTGCTTGTGTGACAACACAAGCTTTTCCAGGGGTTGTGCTATACTGATTTGTCAGCGCAAAACCAGAGAGTGTCTTGGTTGAGTGCCTTGGTGACTGCCTCGGTTGAGCGCCTTGATGATTACCTGGGCGAGTGCCTTGGTGAGCGCCTGGTGAGTGGCTTGGTTTGTCGCCTGGTGGCCCCCCCAAGCGAGGCTACGCGTTGTGTGTGATAGCCAACCAAGAGGAGCATCACAGCTTGTAAGTTTTGCAGTTCGCGAATCGCAGAAAAAGAGCAAGTAAGGAACTGCAAAATCTCTGTTAATTCCGGATCAGCGGTGGGAAAGCAACGCGCGCTAGAGGGAATTGTCGGGGCGCCAACAAACTGCCCCCAAAGAGGGGCTACTGTGTGTGTGACAACCCAAACCCCATGGATGTCTGTCCTGGCCAACGAAGACCAGACACCATGAGATGAGGGTGCAAACGTGCCTGCGATCTGGGATGATGTTTCTGGTGTTGCTTCTGCAAGTCCCATCGGCCTTTTGTCATGACGTGTTAATGCTGTCCATTTCTGAAGAAGTGAAGCCCAGCTCCTCAGCTTTGACGGGCGTTCCGAGGCTGTACTTGTACAGAATGCTGATCTTGCATTTCTCAGACTGCCACCCCTCTCCAAAAAAATGGAGGCTTGAATCCCTCAACCCTGAGCCAGACATTCAGACATGGACAAGATGTACCAGGTGCCGGGACCGTCTTCGAACCACATTTCCAAAAATCAGCATGTGTGAGTGTGAGTGTGTGTGAGTGTGTGTGTGTGTGTAAGTGTGTGAGTGAATGTGTGTGAGTGCGTGTGTGGGTGCGTGCGTGCGTGCGTGAGTGCGTGCGTGAGTGCGTGCGTGAGTGCGTGCGTGCGTTGGGTGGGTGGGTGGGTGGGTGGGTGGGTGGGTGGGTGGGTGGGTGGGTGGGTGGGTGGGTGGGTGGGTGGGTGTGTGTGTGTGTGTGTTTGAGGCTCACCAGTTTGGGACCGAAACCAGCAGAAACATGTTGGTGTTCGCTTAGGGCTTGAGGCCTCAAAATAACTAGACCCCCCAAATGAGCGTGTCTGGTTCTTGAAAATCGGACCCCCCAAAATCTTTGGCTTCCTTCTAGTTTCCGTTCAGCAACCAAAAGGGGTACCTACCCCCAGAAGCGGAGCCTGACCCTCGCTAGGTTCGATGACGAGAATCCGGTGTCCAACCCCCAGGAGCCTTCCGCCCGGAGCCCCTCTCTCGGCGCCCGCTCGGCGCGGGGGGAAAGCTGCGCCGCTGAGTCTTTCAATCAACTTGTTTGTTTGGAGGACTTTGGTGACTTGGTTTGAGGGTTTTTCTTAACAAAGAATGAAGGACTTGGCTTGAAGGACTTTGAAGGTTTGGTTTTTGTGTGACGTTGGCTTTTTGGCCTGAGGTTGGTTTTAGATTGGTCTTTCAGACAACCCCCGGGCCTTTGCGGGAGTTTTGGTTCACCTTCTACAGTTGCTGTGAACCTCACAATGTCCAAGCCAGAGGGGTTTGGCCTTTCAGGGTCAAACCTCTACCCTGGTGACAATCGGTTCTTTGGATCACCCGTTTGGAACCATCGTGGTTTCCGTGGGGTAAAAGCAACCCTAGGGAGCAACTGTGTTGGTTCACCATTCAAAAAGGTATGCTTGAGTATTCCACTTCAACGGACCCAGGAAAAATGCACCTGGCTGCAACCCCTAAGGACGCCACGGGTGTCTATCTTCAATTTACCCAGAGCCTATCTCGCATGGAGGGCAATCATTCTTGTTCAGCTTTTTGAGTTTCGAGGTTGTCCGATCAGATGTATCTGCACACATCCAGCTGCATCAGTCTCTCCCTTTTCAGGGTTGGGGGTGGTCCATTTTAGAAAATATCCTGAAAGCAGCATCTCATTTGGGCGCAACCTGTAGGCAAGAGCATGGGTTCCCTCCTCCCTTCTCTCCCTGCATGTCTCGCTTTCCAGGCATTGCCGTTGGCTCATTGATACGAGTGGTCTAGGCCATGGACCCTGGGCCGAGCAAGGAAGGGGCTGCATGTGTCGAGAGGGTTGGTTACCAAACTCATCGGTTGGCGCGTGCGAACTGGAAGAGCCATGTCCGCCAAAGAGCAGAAGAAGAAGATTGCCGCGCCTCGGCGAGAGGGATGCTGGGGACTTTTATGTCGATCCCTTTTCACGATTCCCAAAACGTATATCGGTCTTTTCTTTTTTTTCCATACCTAAGGTTCACGGAACAAAATTAGAATCTGTCGTGAGGAAATGCGGGCTGGGCCTCTTTTGGAGTCCCAATGCTTGTCCCAATACTTTCGACGTTCAGGGACGTTCAGGGGCTTAAGTCAGGTAACCGGTACTCGGAAAGTCGACACGTGTCGCGAGGTAATCTGCCACAATCTGCCATTCACTTCACTGTGTTTGCATGTGTTGGTTGTATTTGTTTGTTGCTTGTCATTTTCAGTGCGGGGGGGGGACTGCACAAAATGTATACCAAGGTTAGGGAAGCTAAGCATAGATGCGGTTGCCCATTGCCATGGGGCCTTCGGGCGGTTCGCTTCCGACCGCTTTTTGGTTGCTTTTCGGCCCCAGCCTCGAAGCGGAGACTTGGCGGTTTTATGGCTTCACCTTTGCCTTAGACGTCGAGAATTTTAGAGTTTAGAGGGCACCTAGACCAGAACCGCTCATACTTTGCTTCGTTGCTTCCTTTCCTGCAGATGGGAATCCTTCGTTGCAATGCCTCTTTTGTCAAGGTGTCTGAACTTTCGGACAACCCAAAGAAATCCAGATACCCCTCGGAGCCCCCGAGGTTTCGTTGCAACACACAAGAAACCAAACAAGAACGGGCCCCAGGGGGCTTTCCACAAGGGAAACTAGGATCGAGTGGTTTGAACACGTGTGGCTCCTGAAGAGCACGGGATTCGGAGCCTCATCATGGTGCCAAGTTCCTTTCAGCTTTGCTTTAAACCAAGCTGAAAGACGGCAGCTCCAAAAATACACACCCAGGTAAAACAAATCGAATGCAAATAACATGCTGAAGCTGTGTGTGATCGGGCTGGTATTTTCAGGGACAACGTGCAGTTTAGGCTGGTTGGAAAGAACCAACACATGCAAATTGGTGTGTCTCTTGTGGGGCACATGTTTGGGTCACTCAAAAGACAGCTAACTAAGATTTGTGTGATTCCTATCCCATTTGGAGAATTACAACCTCTCCCGAGCATCCATCCGCCCGATTCCATCGGAAGACTCACTCGCGTGCTGCTGCTCAGGTGGCCTTCAATGATGGCAACGCGGGGAGCCCAGATCTTCTTTCGGATATGGGCGTGTCGTTTTTGGAGTGAGTACTCCTTTTCGCGTGCTTCTTAAAGGGAAACCAACAGGAACACCGAAATGCAGGTTTGGAGTGACAAAAACTAGGGGGCGAGCACTAATTTACCCTGGTCAATGAAGGCTAATTCGTCCCAATTTGCACCCTGGCGCACGTAAAACATGGTCAACAGATCCCTTTGTTTGGAGTTGATATGAGGGGAGTTAGACAACCAATGTCAAGGTTCCAAATATAGTGCCAAAATGAGAACAAGCAGCAAGACATCCTTATTGAGAGGAGTCTTCTTTGTGGTTGTTTTGGCTGTACGTATTAAAGTCAGTTAGGAAATGAAAGGCTGGTTACGGCCCACGGCGGGTTCTTATCTAATTCCAGGTGGTTTTTCTCAAGATAAGCCAAAGCAACCCGTTCCAGGAACCTGTTCGTATCCCTGGCAGAGTCCTGGCTCTTAATTGGTGTTTTGGATGGGGGTTGAAACCAACCCCTGCTTCGGCATGCGGTTTTCGGTAAGGTCCAAACCCAGCGCCAAACCAACTGGGGAGAAGGCGACGCCAGTATCGGCCAAAACTTCCCCGCCCAAAAACAGGCGAGAGCGAAAACAAGCGATTCGAGGTGGGGACCGATGAGCCCATTACTGCCATCATGCTGGCCTTGATCCTGCGACAGATCATGCCCTCCTTGGGCATTTCTCAGGCGCGATGCGAGACTTGAGTTCTGACTTGAGTTCCTCCTCCGAGTTTCGCGATGAAGCCCCAAGTAAATTGCTCGGTGTCCCTCCTTTTCGTGCCTTTTCTCCGGGGTCTGGGAGCAACCCTGTGAACCAAGCATCTCTTGGACCGCCAGCAACCCGGGAACGTGTTTGCGCCCGGGGCCATTCGATCAATCGACCGACTCTTAGGCCATGACGACTTCTCCAAGTTTGGGCCATGGCTCTTTGGGAAGGATTCCATTGGCTAAAATAAATATTGCGTATTTTTCTTTGGTGGTTGGTTTTAATGGGAATGCACTGGGGGTATGTTTAACCTGGCCAGGGTCTCTTTTTCGGTTTGTTCCGCGAAAAGCCGCGAAGAACAGCTCTGGTGGATCATGCTCAAGCATCGTTCTTGTCAGGCCGAACTCTTTTTTTCCGCACCCCGGGGTTGGACTTCCTTTTACAACGGGGACGGGCCTGTGAGTCTTTGCAGGTAGGCGACTGCTCGAGTCGGCAAGGCAGTTCTGACTTCTGACTGGTTGAGTTGACATCAAGCCTTTCATTTTGGTCCCGGAAGGGCACAGAGGTAGACAGGCGTACCACCTTTTTGGTTTGTTTGGCATCAGCTTTGGAGCTTTTGGCAAACATACGGATGTGTGTTTGTCTGTTTGTGTGGCAGTGTTTTCTTCAGGGCACCCTCTTTTAGGGTGGTTCAAAAGTGACCCCAAAGGGAACACCACCATTTTGGGGTCCTCCTGGTCTTGAGCAACACCCATGTTGTGTTTTTAAGGGCACCCCGTTTTTTCAGGTGGTTTACAAGGGAGTTGAAAGTGACGCCACCCATTTTTGATTAAGACACCCCAGGTGAACGACATGGTCAGCAGTCACTTCGCCGAGTGCGGGAAGCTGGGTGTCGCTCGGCCTGGGCCTCCTGCTAGAGTCGGGAGTCATATAGGGCAAGCTCACCGATTGTGGGTGAAACAAGCTCATGTAGGTCCTTTACGGAGAGGTTTCAGGTTTTGGAAGCGAGGTTAAAATAGTGGGCATGGGGGGGATTTGCAGAGCTAATGCGGAGCTGATGCTGGTGATGCTGGAGATGCTGGTTTGGTGTGTGGGAGACACTGGCTGGGGATGCTGGGGATGCTGGAGATGCTGTCAACAGGTTGACTGATGTTAACTGATTTTTACAGCAAGTTCTTTTGAAAAGGAACTTCCGTGTAGAATTTAATCTTCTGAAATTGAATCATTCTGATTAAACACCTAACTTGCCATAGACAGTTTTTATTGGATTTTTTTCTTATTAAACTCCATTTGAATTCAGTTAGGAATCGAGTAGAGGTCGAAACAAGTCTTTCAGAGGTCCAAACATTGAGTATTTGCCTGGCCCCAAGCAGACAACATCGTAATTTGTAGCAGTTGTTTTGACTAACTTCAAGTCTTCACCAACGGCCGCTCTACAAAATATTCAGAATTTGAGTTGAAATTAAATGGTAGGACTCAATAAGGACATACTTATTCAAGTCCTACTGGAAACTCTATCTTTACTTTCAATTTTTGGTTAAAATCCCTGTCTCAGTTCACATCCCAAACACAATAGAAAAGACTGCAGTTTGCACAAATCTCACCATTTCTCTCCCAGAGTGCATTTTTGCGAATCTGCGCCGACTGGTAGACTCCCGTTTCCCGTTTTCCCAAGCCAGTCTTGGGGCAGATCAATGGGAAGTTGGAGGTATGAAAGCTTCTGTCTAATTTGGAGGTATGAAAGATTCTATGCTACCAATCTCTAGGCCGGGAAAACATGTTTTCCCCGTAGGTCTCTAGTATGGCTATGCCTTAAACAAAAATAAAAACATAGGGAACCACTTCAAAAGTGTTTGGTGGACGGCCACTTGAATTGAATCACGGCCATATGCCACCAGTGTAAGCTGGTAAACTTGCGTGAATGAGAAATGGAATGACCCATAAGCCATACAAACCATGCAACTGGTGGTTTCCTTTCAGGTTTTGTTTTGGGTGCATTCCCTCATTCCCTATGGCACCAGCAAGTAGAACATGGCACCTTCCTCCCACGTGGCGTAGAGAAGCCCTGTTTTTGCCCCTCGAAGTCGGGGGGAGCGAGGCGGGCTGTGAAGGAGGGAACCCCTACGGAGTGTGACATGCGCGATCAGCATTTTTCGATCTTGGTCGATTCATGGCAAGCAATAACATTTGCTTGAATTCCAGAATCAATTGTTAACTCATACTTTACAAAGTTTTGTTGAAGTACGCTTTGTTGAAGCATGCCTTGGCAATGTTGTTTGTCAACTCGGCAATGTTGGTTGAAGCACGTTGATGAGCTCCGGGAGCACAAGGCTCACTTCGTAATCAACTTCGGAGAGGACTTTGTAGATTGTCAACGTGAGACTCGAGCTGGCTGTGACTCAAATGGATGGATTTGCCACCAGTGCTTGTAGGACGCGAGCAAGATACATCTGCTCTTGTAGTACACCCCTCCATTTCCTGTTTTCGGACCTCCAACAGTGGCGATTTTAATGGGACCCACTAGCAAGATCCATGAACTTTTTCAAGGCGTGTTTTCCTCAGCCATCCAGTGGGATTTGGTCCCGACTCCTTCTCTCCCCAAACCGGAAACCTTCGGCGGTGCCGTCTTTTTTTTTTTTCCTTCGCCACCACGTATCCGGGTCCCGCCTGGCCCAGAAGCTGAGGAGACCACCTTCGCGGAGTTCTTGGAGTGGCTCTTTGCGGAGAACAAGGAAGCAGCCTGGCCACCCTCCCTGGCGGGAGCCGTTTCCTTTTTTTTCCTAGCCCCGGCTCGGGGCTGAGCCACGGCCCGGGGACTGGTTGGTTGGTTGGTTGGTTGGTTGGTTGGTTGGTTGGTTGGTTGGTTGGTTGGTTGGTTGGTTGGTTGGTTGGTTGGTCGGCCGCATACTGGGGGGGGGGGGTGGCCCTTTCGGTGGGGATTCAGACCACTTGTGGAGGGAACACCCTAATACTTGATGGCTCTTTGGTAAGGGATCTTTGGACTTTAGCAACTTGTTGGTTGACACTTTGTGTATATTTCGAATTGGACCCACAAAACGTCAAACTTTTTGCAGAGGGGTCAACCGCAACCAGGAACAGATTATGCAGGTGTTGTCTCCTTGCGTAAATGGTATATATGCGGGTGTTATGTAGTGGTTGTAGAGTGCGTGTTTAGTGATTTTACAGTGGCTCTTAGGCATGCTTTTGTCGATTTGGGCTCGGCTATGAAACAACCGCCTTGTCTAGGAAATACCCTCGGGTTCCTGGGGGGCTTTGGCTGCCCCCTTTGGATGCCCCCTACCAAGCTCATTGGCTGATGGTTCACGGCATCTGAAAGGGCTGTTGTGGTGAATGTCCATCGTTTAGGAGTTGGAAGCCAATGGGCCCTGGTGTTCGCAGCCAACAAGCCAAAGTGTTGGGTGGATGCGTGTTCAGGTCACAAGCCTTGATATCCGATTTGTTGCTTGAGGTCTGTTTGTAGCTACCAGCCCAGCCCAAAGCTTCTGCTATCTTTTGCTCGATTGAACCAGCACTTGCGTTTGGTCGATGTTTTCCTTGGAGTTGTACTTGCCAACCACCCCCTTTTCTCTCTTGTGCTTGAAGACAAGCAAGCCAGAAGGGGTTGAAGGAGTTCCGGAGGCATCAAAAAAGACAACCTGGGCTTCCCGAACGAAGTCTAAGATAACCAGAGCGCTTTCCCTGGAGCAAACATGCTCGTACCCTCCAAAGATACCTCACATGCCTCGAGTTGAAGACAGCCCACCGTCTTCTTGGGGGTGTGTTTGTGGGGGTCCCTTGGGGGTGTGACGTGAAGCTGCTTTCTTGGAGCGCGCCCTCAGGCACCTGCATCGGAGGCTCGAGGGATCGAAGAGGTCTGCTTTGGAGTTGTGTCTGTGTGTGTGTGTGTGTGTCTGTGTGTTGTTTTTTTCCGTTGGTTTCCCTTTTAAGCATCCCAAGGAAGGAACCATCCAACAAAAAACTGACCCTCCCCCATGTTTGTGCCAGCGGACCAGAAACCGCGCTCAACGGCGTGCACGTTCTTGCTATAACCCTGCACACCACGCCTGGAAAGTGGTTGGTGCTTGGTGGATCACAAACCGGACAATTTGAACCAAACCACCAAACCTGACTTTGATGCCATCTAAACTCCATGTTTGTCAACAAATGGCCCTGTTGATTCCCGTTCCGCCACGCGAGCGCGACTAATGCTGCACTCGTCACTCGCCTTCCGCTTTGAAGGCAGGCCAGTCCAAGATGGTTTTCCGCTGGTCCGAAAGCCTTTTCTGGGCTCTTCTAACTATGAATCAACAATTGCTTGTGAATTCAGTCATTGTGACAGGTGGTGTATACAATACGTATGACCCCCGGGTTGTACACACATATCATGCGTATGTTTCACACATCCTGTCTATATGTCTATGTCTACCTGGGCGCTTCCTTCCCGGAGCCCAGCCTTGCCAGGCCAAGCCAGCGAAGGCGCCCTCGCCGCCGCCGGTTGCGCCGAAGGCGAAGGCGGTGGCGGTGCCGAGACCCGAGCCGCCCGGATGATTCGGATCCACGTGGCTGGAAACCAGATGTGGTGGGCGTGTCCTTCTACTTGGCCCTCAAAATAGGAGGAATGGAATGACCAGAATGACCCCATTGGCTGGACTGAACACTCCATTTATCAGGGTTCCATTTTGGGGGTATCTATTCTTGACCCACACCCATATGGGTGTTGATGTTGATTGGACCCGAAATGGTGAAGTTCGACATCCACGAACCACTTTGCAGACCAGATTGGCTTACAATATTGAAGATCTTTCCTTTCGAGGGTGTAAAAGGGAAATGAAGCATGGATTGAACCTCTTCCAAGAAACCAGCTACCCGCCAAGGTATTCGGATCTTTAACGATGAATCGTTTGTCAGGGGCAATGCCACAAAGCATCGGGATTATAGGGGTCTTGAAATATCGGACATGGACCCTGTTTGATGTTCGATCCAACATGTTGGCACTGGGTTGATAGCGTTTGTTGGCACGGTTCAAGTTGGGCCCCCTGTGACTGGACACACTGGGACTAGGATAGCCCCCCTTTTCTTTTCTTTTTTGTTTTTTTTTTGGGGGGGGACGACTAGCCAAATGAACCGCTGATTTGACCGAGAGAGGCCACTCTCGGTCAGCACATATGTCTCCTTTTGCCTAACTGATTGTTTTGAGGGCACCCATGTGTTTTTTTTGGGGAGGGGGTTGGGGGGATGGGAGAGGGGCTCACCAGAAAGAAGGCCAAGGGGTCAATTCGATTTGCCCGGGGCATTCATCGAGGACGATGCCGGCAGAAGCGGCTGAGCGCTGGAAGCAGTTCCAGGTCCGGGATGGATCCCGCCTGAGCCGCAATCAAAGCCCGGGGAAGTGAAGGTTAGGGACAATGAGTGTGTCTGTTTTTGGAGGGTAGGCGTTTTTGGTGGGTTTCAAAGAGAAACCAGAAGGAACACCAGCATTTTGGGGTAGTCTAAGAAAAAGACGCCCACATGGGTGCGGATCTTTGCACTTTGTATTTTCTACAACTCCAAGGTTCAGCAACAGATACTCCAAGGCGCGAAAGTAAATGGGGAAGACTAAAGCCAGGATTCACTGTCGTTGGCATGTTTTAGGCTCTTCGTCTTGCTGGTTTTCTTCATTTTTAGCAGGGGGCTGCAACACACCAAGGGTTTTACTGCCATAGCAAAGGGTCGGACAGCTGCCTTCACCCTGGATTGAGCATTGGCCGAGTTTTTTGGGCCCGGGAGGAGCTGCTGAAGACGCGGCAGTACCTGGAAGACGGCTCCACCTCGCACCCGCTCTGCTACTACGTGCCCCGGCCAATTGTTTTTGTTTGCGGTCATTTGGTCAGGGCACTGTGGATAATTTCCGCTGAAAGGGTGGTCGTAAGCAGCACCTTTTGGAACACATGAAGCTGAGCTTCGGTTTTGTTGGGTCATTTTGAGGGGGGGGAACAGGGACCGTCTTGTCTACATTGCTTGTTAGGAAGTTTAAGTATTTTGTTTTGGATCCCCGTGGAGCCGGCGAGCGCTCGTGTACATTCAGAGGCTGAAAAGCTCGAGACCAACCAGTCCGGGTCCAATATTTTTCACTGCCTCCGGGACATGAGGGATAGGTCGGACCTACGCGGAAGTCAGCTTTAGGTCTGGAGACATCTTCACTTGAAATGGATTCGGTTCAGGAGGATTCGACTCCCCCGCGACAAAGTCCGCCGATGCGAGGCACGCTTCTCTTGCCGCCCGTGGTATCTGGAAGGGTCTACCTTCTCACGTTTTGTTTTTTCCCTTTGTTGTGTGGGTCTACTTTGGAGGTTTCTCCCAAAAAAGACACACACACACACACACGCCCATGTAATTATATCATATGTGGGTGTACCCCAAAATTGGGCCCGCCCAGATTGGGACCCAGGCGCTTGCAAACCATCCTTCGGCTGAGGTGCAGCTTTGCAAGCAAGCCTTCGCAGAGGCCAAGTACGAGGAGCCGACCGCTTGTCACCCCAATGGAATTCGGGGAGTTGATGTCCCCTGAAACTCCATTTGGTAGCTCCATTTTCACCCCTCTTGTGAGGATCCCACCAGACCGGATTCCAATTCGCGAGCCCAACAATTCGGCCAAGTAGCGGAGTCCCCCAGGAAACCCCCCGAAACCCCCCCGAGGTTGCTCTAAGCAACCTGACCTCCCAGAGGGTTAGAACTCCTTCCGGAAGGCTTCTTGGGGTAAGCCATGGGCGCCTAGGAACATCGGCTTGGTTCGGGTATCTTCCGTGGTGTGTGCTTAGCTACAGCCCCCAGGGCCATACAGAGTGCAACACCCTTTGAAGTATAGGGCCGATATTGTCTATAGGGGACCCTCAAACATGGTTTCGTTCTCCCTGTGTTTTCCTTTAATATTTCCAAACAAGGGTAGCGTAAAAAAGAGAGACTTCCACGGTCCATACCCCTTTACTTGGCGGTAACGTTACCATAGGGATGGTCGTCCAGCTGGTAGTAAGGATCCTTGATAACAAACATAATGATATCTTTTAAGGGAACACCAAACAAACAGAGTTTTGACCATGGCTCATATAGTGGTTGTATATTTGTATATCCCATCCAGCCCGTGGTTTGCAGCCAAGCAATCTCAAACACATGTCAATAGAGAATTGACGTGAGGACACCACCATCCTCCTGGAACGGATCAGCAACAGCATCGTGGAGGATGAGAAACGGCCACTCTGGCTTGAACACTAGTGCCTTCACAAAACCCCGCGAGTTGGTTATGCTATGATGCCAATTTTGGAGGAACAAATCCAAGATGTTCACTGTTGAACTCCCCGGGTTTGTTCAAAATGTACCATACAAGTGCGAGTAGGAGGTAGTTGATCCCAGGAGAACCCAAAAGTGGGGATATGTGTTCCGAATCTAAGGGCATGCTCTGAATCAGTCTCGGAACACGAAAGCTGTCCTACAAAATGGACACTGTTTGCTTGACTCTTCGGGGTTTGTCCCATTTTGTTTGGTTCGGCCTCCGTGTGAAGTTGGGGTTGCAGGGGGGCCTTTCATTTGCCAGGGAACCCTTTTTGGATGGAAGAGCCGGCAAACGTGCTATTTTGATGGGGCCCCCATTTTGCCTGAAACACGTGTTTTGGGTTCCAAAGCCATTTTGGATATTGTGGAAGCGGACCAAGTGGTTCTTGGGGCTCGATCTCCTCCTGTTGGATGATGAAGAAACCGCACCTCTTTTCAGGTTGCAGGGCATTTTGACATGGCCAGACTTGCGAGAAAGAACCCTTGAAACGCCGCTTTGCGCTTTCCGGTTTCCTGTTCCTGCTGAACCAGGCAAAGCTTAGCTGTTTGGATCGGAGCAAAGGTTAGCCAAAAGAGCTAGGTCCATCTAGAGGTCCCTTTAGCAAGAAAGGGAAGCCATGGTCGTCGGACCCTTTTTTCCAGAGTCCTTCACATTTTAAAGTGGTGTCAATAGCAAAACCAACGTCTTCAAAGAACGGTCCAAGAGATGGTCTCTTCAAAGAAGGATTAAAGAATGGCCCAAATTCTTGCTTCTTCTCACTTCTTTCGAAGATTGAGAGGGAGGAGCCAGCCTTTCAAGGGGTTATTCTTCCTCTCCCTCCTTCCATTTGCTTGAGCCGATGTTTTTTCCCTCTTGATTTCCAGTTTTCTTTTGTTTTGAACACTTCAATTTTTGTCAGGGCGCGAAAACGCCAAGTGAGGTGTCCTTCCCCGAAAAAAGGGGGCTCGAAGCTCCAGTCCTCGCGAAGCGCGCGAAGCGGGCGAAGCGCAGCTCGAAGCCGCCGAGGATCGCGGCGGCCTTCGACCACTTCGACAAGGATGGCTCGGGGGTGCTCGAGCGCCAGGCGGGGGCACCGAGTCGCGGGCCTTTTGGCTGGCCCAAAAAGTGGACTGGAAGGTCATGTGTAGCAATATCAAGGAGAAGATCAGAGAGAATAAAAAAGGAACAAGCTGCTTTGGGATCGATTTGGGGCAGTTAAGCAATCACCTTTGACTGACTCATCTGGAGGATCCCTTGGTAAGCCACATCTTTTTGGGTGAGCCCGACACATGCACAGGAGTTGCGAAGCCACATGGCTTTTTGGGTGAGCCCGAAGCAATATCGTTCCTTCTTATTTCTGGCAAAGGGCGGTAAAAGGGGATACACCCTGGTTGATTCTGAGTCTTTGTCCATTTAAGATGGGAGATCCAGATCATTTTTGGAGGAGTTGCGCCAGTGGTTTGTTTGTGCTTGATCTTTTGTCGGCCCGACCTTTTTCATCCATAAGATTGCAGGGCTAGGGTTCTTGGAAGCAGGAGTTTTCCCACCGAGATAGTTGGGCAGGCGTCTTCTTCAAGTGGGATTTTGCTTTTGTCGTAAGGCAGTCTCGCAGTGGAACCAGCGGCGCTCCCTTCTGAACAAAGGGATCTGCAACTGATTGAAGGCCACAGAATGGCCGTGGCAGCCAAGTGATGCCTGCACCGGACAAAGGCCGCAAACTTTCTATTCAGTGCCCCTTACTGAGGATAGACGAAACCGAACCCCTGCACCATTTCAGAGGCATGCCTTCACCGTTGTTGGCATGTTTTTAGGTTTCTTGGGGTTTGTAGGGGGCTGAACAGTTTGTGCTACCACACCAAGGGTTGGAGAGATGCAGCATGAGTGAGGGGACAGCCATTGGTGCCTAGCATGGATCGGTGGACCTCGCCAGGAGTTCCGGTTCATGTGCGCCTACTTGGGCTGGAGCTCTGAAGAGTCCAACAGCAACCGGCTGAGATGGGGTGGGAACCCTTTTTGTTGGTCGGGTAGCCCCCCTTTTGGTGGGCTTAAGGGAAACCAAAGGAGATCCGAAATCCATTTTGGGGGGGAAGGGGATGTACCAGGGCTTTGCCCCACAAATGGAGGGGGCCTCTTGTTGCGTGAGAGAGGGAGAGAGCGAGAGAGCGAGCGACCGAGACGTCAAAATTCAAGACACACGAAAGCAAAATTGTCATGGTGCATTATTTGATTGCTCCTATGTGGCTTCCTGGCATGTTCTACCACTTGTGACTGGATTCTTACTGTCAATAGATTCAATACCTGAGATTCATAGCATTCTTTGTACTCGGCAGAAGAACCGCTCCCCCTTTGTGTTCGCATTTGATAACCTAGAGGACAGTCCAGCTCCAGTTCCCTGGAAATGCTGAACCTCTCGATCTCCCATTCGGTTTTGGAAGGGAAGCCAGAAGGACAATACACACACACAGAGACACAGGGGTATTCAAGCTACTCACGGAAGCAACTCTGCTTCTCCTTAGCCCGTGGTTTTGGAAAAGCCAATACAGTTGGTGAGTCTCCCTTTGATCCAGTGACCAGGCGCCAATAAGGGGATTGTTCTGGAGGGCAAGGATGATGATCTTTTCACTTTCCTTGGCTCATGGATTGCCGCCATTGAATCCGTGCAGTGCTGCAGGTCTTGGTACGTTCAGTGCTCCAAGATTCTATCAGATGTTGGAAAACAAGGTAGCGTTGACCCTGGACCAATAACGGGTACCTCCACAAGAAGGGGACACACCGCCGATCAAAATCAACCAGGAGAGTGTAGATCCGAGGTTCCCATTAGAACACTTCCTTTGGTTTCCCTAGCCAAATTCCCACGCCAGAAGACCGTGGGGCTGCCATGGTTTCAAACGAGTGCACGTTTCGTTCGGCATGTTGAAGCTTTTTCGCATGGCCCGAGGCTAAGCTACACCCCTATCTTTTGGGACCTTTCAAAACACCAAAACAAAGTGGTCCCCCAAAGAAGACACCCCACCTTCAACCCAGGGATTTGAGCACCACCAGACCACCAGACCACCACCATATGGAGTTGGCTCCGAGGCATAGACGTAAACCAGGATGGCACGGCGCCTTGGCGCGAGCACGGCGCTGCCAGACCTCGGCGGACTGCCTTGACTGTTCCCTCGGGACATCCGGGCCTCGTGTTTTGTTTTTTTTGTTTTGTGGGGGTTGGTTTGAAGGGAAACCAAAGGGACAACCACGGTCCCCCCATGAACAAGACATTTGGAGACAAACCTGTTGGTGGGACCAATCGCTTCCATTTTGCTGTTGGTTGTAGCTAGTATTCTAGGGGTCTTTTAGCATGGAAAGCTGCCCCATGTACTCCATACCCATGTCCTATGGGAACAGCATATGGTAGGAGCCTTGGATACATACCTAGCTACCTACCACTACATGCCAATTGTTGGCGCACGCGTCCTCCTTCGCCCCCGCTGTGTTTGCGCCCCCGTTCCTCATATGGTCAATTGGAGCCAAAAAGAAAGAGCCCGTCAGCGATTATTTTTTTTTGCACATGTTCCTTTCGTGTTCAAGCAGCATTTGCCGATGTCCGGGTCCGGGAATTGTCCACAATCTTGGGGCTTTTGCGGGGCTTCATGCCAACTAAATCTTCCTGAATGTCCAACGTGTTGCCTTGATCCCGCCTTTTTTGCCGGTTGGTTTCCTGAACTCTAAATTTTTCGGAGGGACCCCTGGAGACGACGGCTGTGATTCACCAGGTGGGCGTGCCGAAATTTCAAAGAACATCATTTGTTCTAATTTTCAAGGGTTTGGCTTTTTTGGAACCTGCCATACCCTTAGACTTTCAACTTTTAGAATTTAGAGGGATTTAAGACATATTATCCACGCAAAGTTTCGAGATCTTTAGCAAGGAACACATCCAGCTGACTTGCTTCCCGCCCTTTCAAAGGATTCAGGAACCAAGCTACCGCGCATGGACAAAATCCCACCACGCTTGCACACCATCGTTTCTTGGCATTTACCGGGGGGGAATCAATCGACTCCCAGGTTTCTCTAAAGGGCGAAATCTGACCAAACCAAACTTCGCCAAACCTCCTGGTGCGAGAAGCGAAATGGATTTTTCGCCAAACCTTCACACAGCACCTCTGGTGTCAATCGGGACAGCAGAAGCGGGGGATCGGGGCATCAGGTGAGCTTGCCGGAGCTGCAGACCTATGTGGGCCACCTGGGCGGCGTGCAGAAGTTCTTCGAGCACCGCAGGCAGCGGGTCTCCGCCTCCCGGAAGGACGCGCCTCGGAGCGAGGGACGGACTCGGCGTCGGGGAAGGCGGCGCGGGAGGGATGCGGGAAGCGGCGGGGTGGGGTGAGAAGCACCTGGACGGTCAAGAAGGGCGAGTTTAGAAAGGCCTATGTAGTGCGTTATAACCATCTCGTAAGAATCGCGGTCGATGGGTTTTGAGAGCTGCTTCTTGTTTACAGCTCCCCCCAACAAAGAAAGGAAACAAGTGCAAAACAAAAAAATACAAGTGAACCACTACTTTTGTTGCGAGCCCAAAAATGGGTTCCCTTTCCTTGTCCTGCTTTATATCCTTTCAAGCACAGAGAGAGTCGCATTTTGAGACGCTTTTCAGCATTTCGGAATGGATGCGCCGACACGTGGCGACGCTTCAGAGCAATGTTTTCTTAGTGAAGCATGTGGTTAGGATACTTTCTTTTGTTTTTTTGAAAAGGACACCAAGAGGACACCACCTTGTGGGTGTGCCCACATGGTCTGGTGATAGTTCCTTTCTTGAAACAGCACGTGTCTTCTTGTTTCAGGTCTCTTCGTTGTGGCATGTGCCCCCGAAAAGAAAATTCCTCAGCAAAGGGAGGCCAAAAGAAAGATACGAAGCCCAATTTGCCACTCAAAACAGAACTGACCCTATCTTGACACATACTAGTACTTCTCAAAAATAGTGATCCCCCAGAATCGCAAGGGTTTCCTTTCGTTTCCCTTTGCATACCAACCCAAAGAGGCTTTCTTCCACCATCTTGAAGAAGCTCCCATGTGTCTTCGACAAAAACCATACCTCTCAAGAAATTTCGATCCTCCGCTCCCTCCCCCACTGCAAATGCCAGGATGTTCCTTTGCTTCCCACCCGCTCCCCTCCCCCCACCGTTCCAAAGCCAAGTCGACGGCTCACCTTAAACACCACCGACCGCCGACCACCGACCGAAGGCGCGTCCGCGAGCTCCCTCGAAACCCGAGGTGCGGGACATCTGCCCCATCGTGGGAGTGGAGGTGGGGGCGCGGGTGCGGAGCCACTTCTACTACAAGAACGGCCAGAAGTCCAAGTCCTGGCGCGAAGCCCAGGCCATCGATTCCCGAATCCGACGGCCGTCGAATGGCTCGCAGAACATCAGACGTACAGGGGGGGGGGGGGGGCCCGTCCTTTTTTTTTTCCGGGGGAAACCAAAAGGAGGAAAAAGCCATCCATCTCTCTGGAGTCTCCGAAACTCTTCTATACTTTAGTGTAGCCTCAATTTCAATCCTGAACATACGATTTAAGACACTCTCATATTCACTCCACCCTTCCCAGCCCCTCTTGAGGGCTCTGAGTAGCTATTAATTCATGAAAGCAATGTTCATCGTTGCTCAGAGCCCCTCAAGGATGATCACCCCCTGCAAGGGTAGAACATTGGTGCTATGGGCATCCTTCTTAGGATAGTTTGGTTAACCATCGATGGGCTTCCCTGGTTTAGAGTTTTCTTTCGGGACCAAATTTCCAGCCTTCGACCGAGTTGC